CTTCACTCTTTATTGACCGTTACACTATTTTTGCACTTTATAAAAATTGTTGGTTTTGTTCTCTTTTGTTTGTCCAGTGAAAATCGTCAAGTTGAGGGTGGAATGACCGCCCAGAAGCTCGCTTGTCACTTAACTCTTTCTTATCACTTAACTCTTAAATCATTCTTGACCGTAGGGTAGTCTATACTCACTGTAGTTTTTTTACTATAATTGGTTTGCACTTTTGAGAAATTATTTGTTGGTTTTAAACTTTAAACTTTTACGTTTTAAGAGCTCTCGCTGTAACTGCTTGTGTTTGATTTAAAAAGTGGCGAAGTACAATTTAGTGCGTGCTCCATACCAAACGGTCTTAGACCTAGGTAAACGGCTACCCGATACTGAAGAGCTCCAAAAGAGCTTCTTATATCAAACACAAGCAGTTACAGCGGTGAGAAGTAATCGCATTAAAATGTCATAAATGTGACGTCTCCATTTTGACGTCTTAAAGAGGTAATAATATGATTTCAGTAAGAAGTAAGAAAAGAGAACACTGTAAGATATTATATAACTGTCTTATTTATGATACCCTTGGTAGCTTCTAATTTTGATTCCAATAAGAGGTCAGAAAAAAAGTTACTTTTAGATGTTAAAAAATTGACTTCTCATTTAGGAATTCATCAAGAGCAGCTCTTAATCTTGAGCTCCTAAAAATGATTTCTCTAAGATGTCATATTGTGACCTCGGTAAGATGTTTTTTAATAGACTTCGTACAGAAATCTTTCTGAATTGGATGTTGTCTGGGAGAGCTTGTGCAGACCTAATTAAGACGTCATATTGCTGTCTGGGATGTTATAGAATCATATAGAATTATATATAGTTTTACGATTACATATAGGTTTATATACGAGTCTATAGAGTTGTATGCAATTGAATATGGCTTTATACAATTGTATATATAGTTTTATACAATTGTAGGTGAGCGGTAGAATTGGATAGGACTATATGGTGGAATAAAGATATATACATGAGTATATGAGTATAAGTATGGGAACGTATGGCAGGCCCCAGATATATTGTCATCCACTGATCTCCGGGGTTATATTACCCCCTTTCCGTTCTCCTGCGTATCCCGCCAAATCACAGCATTACCTGTGTTTGTTGGATTCGAAGTTTTTACGCCGGCTGGTAGATCCACCCTAGGAGTTCGTGGATGACAGTGTCAAAGGTTAAGGCCGCTCCCGGGATTTTTGTCAGCCGGGTCGGGCCATACGTCCAGTTTAGGAAGGGTTTTTGGAGGACATTGAACTGACCCAAAACTAAGTACAATCCGGAATCCTCCTAAACCAGGGCTTTAGTAATAACCCCATTCATTTGGTATTCCTGAATGGGGGTGGGTGGATTAGTATGCTGCTCGCGCCTTTCCTTGATGGTGTACTTCCTGATAGCCGCTTTAGAATTGTTTGCCCCCTGTGCGTTATTGAGTCTTATCTTCCGAACCGAAGTGTTGCCGGCCGCACCCCGCCGTAATATTGCCCTCTGACTATGTGGAAATACGTTTAACCTACTGGAATTGTCGACCCTCGAATTATTTTTTTTTCCACTGTGCGTGATCCCAGTGATTCTTAGAACGATTATTACTTAATTTATGAACCCTTACGTCTTGGTAATCTATAGATGTAAACATAAATAAATAAATTTCTTTAGGATGGTTTCTTTTGCTTAATGTTTATCGTAACTTGAGTGATTAATGGCTTCTTATGTGCCCTTGGGTTTATGGTTTTTTTTTACTGTTTCATTTGCATGAGAATCTTGGAAATTGTTTGTTACTAATTAATTTACCTGAAGAATTATTGTTAGTTAAAGGTTGTGAATTTCGTATTAACTAGTAATAATATTATTGGGTGGACATGGTCATGCAATTTGGTAGCTACTTATCTAGTTTATGCAGACTTGGGACTTTGCCATGCTGGTGTGCTTAGATTGATCCTTATCGCATGCCGCCCGCACGTGTGGTAGCCCAGGAAATTTTCATTGGAACTGATTGTCTCTCTCACACCTTTTAACCAGGTCAAACACTTGAGGACTTAGTCCAGGGGGAGGTACCACACACAATTTGCACTCATTTGCACTTGGGACAGTTATCACTTGTAGAATCGATATTGGTTATTTTTATTTTACGGCGTTAACCAGTTATCCCGTGTAAAATCGATATTGATTTGATATTTTTTTTATTTTACGGCGCACTTTTCGCGTTTGTTCCACTTTTTGCACTTGTTTGTTTATTTATTAATTTATTACCGATTACCGGTATTTCCGCATACTTACCCAAGTAACATTTTTAGTTTTATTATGGTCTTCAAGAACGCTTTAAAACAAAATTTTGTTTTAAAGCGTTCTTGAAGACCATAATAAAACTAAAAATGTTACTTGGGTAGATTCGCTTTTGATACTTCAATACGTTTGTATCGTATACGCTGCTTAGGAGATGTCTTTGGACGTCCTTACACTTCAACAGTCAAGACGCAACTGTGGTGGAATAAAGATATATACATTTACACATAATTTATTTTATTGATAAAAATAACATATTTATAAACATAACCCCTTGTCCACATATTACACCACGCTCTAAATTTGTGACGTCACTAGGGGGGTGGCACGTTTTGTGACTTTGACAACCAGGGTGACTGTCACCCTGTGTGAGGAGGTCAAAAAGGGTCACAAATCGCGGGTCGTTATATAAGTTAAGATAAATATAATATAAATAAACATAAATGAATATCATAATTCACACAACATGTTATGTAGTAGTGTTTCGTAAATAATTCCTTTTATTTCAAAATTACAGTTCAAATTTACGTTACTAACTTGGTAAAAGTTGCCACCACCTTGGTTAATTAATTTACATGAGTTAAATATAGTGGGTATCTTACTTACAAGTTTATTTCACAACACAAACTGGAAAATCGGCAGCATCTTCCTTCTATGACGCAAAACCGACGCTCAACCATTCGACCGGTAGCGTCGAACTCTTCTTTACTGTTCGCGCGCGGTGTTACAATTCTAAACAAGTATATTCGATTGGATACAAGTGTATATGATAATATACAAGTATATACAATTGTATATAATATTATACAAGTATAAACAATTGCATAGATCTATATGTATACTTTAAAAAATGATTGGATATAATTGTATTCAATCATATAGGACTCTACAAAAATTGGACAACTTGATGTCATCAGTCAATAGAGTAGGTATTTTAATATTTTTTGTAAATATTTTAGTATATTACAAAGGATTCAGGTTTTTTTAACTTGTCCACCAAATTTTAATGTATTTTTTCAAAAGCACGTTCTTAGAAAAACATAATAAATATTCAAAACATCAGTACCTTGGCATGTCACAACTCCTGAATCAAATATTTGAGTGATTTTATTTTAAAATATATTCAATTTATCTTAAATTTTTCAATTTTACTAAAAATAACACGAATAATAGCAATTTTTAAAAAATTGATAATCTTTGTACTCACTTTTACCCGTCAGTTCTGTGTTCAAAATTCCTGCGAAATATTGAAGTTTAAACGTCAAGTCCACGTTTTAACTCAAGTGTTGGTAAAAAATTACCCACAGAGCCCGCCCTTTGCACGACAGTCACTAATAAAAAATATCACTTAATTCCGAATTATAATCTCAAATTTGTATCCCATTCATCAGTACCGTGTCTTCAGTTCCATGTTCGATGTTTCGGTTATCTTTTTTTCGCAAACTTCAATTTAAATTCTGCTTCAACAGAACTTGTTTATTACATGTCATTATAAACTCATATAAATTTGGTTTGGGTCCCATATCTAATAATTGAGATATCGGTATACCCAAAATCCACCAGCCGCCACTGATGTGGTATTATTTGATTTTAAGATATTTAATGTATAATATTCTCAAAGTTGCAATAAATCTTATATTTTCCAATAAATTATGTATTTAATTAGTACCCTGGTATACTCGTCACTTCCCTTGCATTCAAATTTAGAAAACACAGATATTTCAGAAACTGTTTGAAAAAGTGACTGGCCCGGTCTGAAACAGTATATTTATTATATTATCTATGTTCTCATAACAAAATACTGTTTAATTTTCTCCGAAAACTAAATAAACAAAATGAGGTCAAAAGTTAACTTTTGACCTCATTTTGTTTATTTAGTTTTCGGCAATTGCCCAACTTTTGTAGAATCACCCATATACAATTTTATAAGTTCTTAAACAATAAAATAATAATAATAAAACAATAAAAATGTATATACAATTGTATACGATCGAATATAATTATATACAAGTGTATGCCATTGTATAATATTCTATAAAATGCGTTTTAAAATTTTGAATATAATTCTTTATGATTATATCCAATTATATAAGGACAGATACAAATTTCGTTTATAATCGTATCCAATCTTATACAATTGTATATGATTGTATAAAATTCTATCCAACCATTTTTTATCGGGTAGTTTCGCAACGCCAATATTTAAAAATTTATAAACATTGTACTGACCTTGTAATATCGCCGGCAGTAAACTAAATTTAACTTGATCAATGGATGGTGGAGACTCCACTGTGGAGTGCCCAAAAAACATTTTTTTCACTTTCACTGTTATAAACTGTTGTTAGTCCATTTTTAAGGGATACATTTAAACATTAAAATTTCACATTTTCACCGGCGCGCCGGTAATACAGATTCCCAAGAATGATAACTCTATTGTTTTATAGATATCGCTCTATGCAAATATTTAATTAAAATCATTTTTATATAATAATACGTATTTGTCTTAGAAAAAGTATGCAACTAGTTTATAAACTTTTCTAGACACTCATTTAATTAAACACTCGCTCGTGTCAAAATTAAATTCGTGACTAAAATAGCGTTCATCAATTATATAAATCTGGACCTTAAAGCAAAATGGTATTAAAAAGTGCTTGATTTTATTTGGATAAAAATACACTTTTTATTTTTAGGACCTTGCTGGAGGATTTATTTACGAAAAACTTATATTATCTATTCTGGCGATACGATGCTGTTTCAACAAAAAAATAAAAGACTTTAAAATAGGTTCCAATATTCCCGGATTTGGATCTTTGGACGATATTGTAATAGAAATGGATTATGACAACGGTAGCCAAGAAGTATTCGTTATTCAACTGAAATACAAAAAAGAAGAAGGAATCAAAAGTATTAAAATCAACTTAAATAAATATATTCAAGATTATAAAATAATAAAAGATCGATATAAAGATGTTAAAGTAACTGTTATAATACATACAAAAGCAAATGAACAACTTATACCGCAGCATAATGCTTTGGTTAAATACGATATTGATTTAAATTTAAAAATGTTTAATACAAATAGAGACGGGCTGTTATTTAAATACAACACAAAACTTGTTAATATTAACGATAAATCCATATCTAGCGATCTTATTCAACAATTCTTTGACAATTGCTATCTATTGGCCAATCAATGTAGCGTTGAGGATCCAGAAAAAATGTTGGGAAGCGAGTTTGACTACTGTGTAGGAAATCTTGAAATAAGGGATATTTATAATTATTTTGAGATGATATTTTCTAGCAGGAATGAACTTATATATAAAGAAGAAATCAGCTGGATGTTAAAAATTAAAACGTTATATCGATTTATTAATTTATCATCGGCAGATAATGAAGTTATAGAAAACGAAAATGTTATACTTAAAACCTTAACCTTATTTAATTTAGCACAGGTTTCTAAAACCTCGATGTGTGTTGTTTCAAATATTATAAAACGGATTATTCGAGATCGATTCTCCGAATTCAACTCATTGCATGAAAATATATCTGAACAAATATTAAACCAATTCAATTTAAAAAAATTAACAAATATTCAAAACGGAAATTTGGCTTATAAGGACTTAATACTTTTACTGTGGATGGAAGGAGAAGTGCCACTTCCTTTATGCAATACAGAAGAAAATAAAAAAATAATTAATTTCGTTCTTCAAAAATTTAATCCCGATTTTTCCATAATACTGCAAACAGAAGATGTTGACAATACTTTTAAACATATACAAATCTTTCACGATTTTACCAATATTCGTGATGAGATCGTAAAAGAGGTTAACTTTAAAAATATCAAAATTAAACTTCATCAAAATCAATCAGTTTCCTTGGAGGAATTACATTTTTTTGATGAAACGGCCCTTAAAACCATTAATGCTGATTTGTATATTAAACTGTTTTCTTCAAAAGAAAACCACCTTAAATCAATCAACCCATTATCATGTTATATTCCTAGAAGATTAAAACCTTTAACATTTAACAAAAATGTTACTAAAGATGAAGTCGTTACCTTTACTGTCCACAGCAATTGTCCGGAATTGTCTGAATTTTTGCGTAAACACAATACATTGCGAAAAGAATCCCATTGTTACCTTATTGATTATAATGAAGCTTATTTATGTTCTGCGTATAATGGAGATATTAAATCATTATCAAATTACCGTACTTCTAAAGTTTTAACAGAAGAAGAATTATTGCGATTAAACATTCCCATAAACATAATTGATGGAAATGCTGGAATGGGAAAATCTCAATTTTTAAGAAACATTCAGTATTTACTTCCTAAGGATTATTGGACCATCTTACTAAACCTAACAAATTACCATATGTTTTGGAAGGATGAAGTTCTAGAGAATAAAGAAAGCCTAATTGAGTATCTTGTAAAACATCAGATGGAAGGAAGAATTGACGACTGTAATCTAAAATTTTTAACTGAATTATTTAAAAATCGACTAAAAAACAAGAAGATTTATTTACTCATAGATGGCTTCGATGAAGTTGATTTTAATCCTGAAAATATACGTAAAATATTTCTTTTGTTACAAGTGCCCCTTTTTATCACCACTAGACCAACTAAAAAGGAAGTCCTGGAAAAGGAATTGCGTGTTCCATCTATTAAAATAATGGAGTTTTCCGAAGATAATCAAATTGAATTTTTGCAAGTTCTACCCAATTTAAGTTTGAATTACATAAATAAAGTCCTTGACGGTTTGAAAATAGAAAAAAGTTTTTTGGGTGTCCCACTATTACTAAAGATTTTGGTAAATATTTTGCCGAGTTTAAAAGAAATTGAAAACATTGATTTATTAGTTTTATATAATACTTATTTTGACAAAAATATGGAACACTACAAAAACTGTGATAGACGTGCAATTAAACATTTGGCATTTCGAACGTTTTTTAAAGAGTTTTATGGTACATTTTTTAAGGAAAAATTATTTCAGGAGGATTGTAAAGATTTTCAAAACACAATTGCTACAAAAAAAGATGTAATATTCAGCGGATTTGATTCAGAAAAAGAACCGACTTTTATACATAGAACGTTCGCTGAATGTTTATGTGCCCAGGTTTTAAGTGAAATATGCCTTCATGAACAATTTACAAAAATTTATGAGGAGTTAGTATCAAAAATTGAATATAATTTAGTAAAATATTTTTTTGATTTAATTATATGTAAAAATTTACCTTTGCATTATGCAGCGTTAAGAAACGATAAAAACATTGAAATATTAATAAATAAACACGATTATTCTAATGAAAAGGATAAGTTGGGTAGAACTGTTCTACATGTACTTTCTACGTATGGAGATTATTCTGAAAGAACTAACATTCAAAAGAACAAAAAACTTTATACCTTTGTTCGTATGAGTGATCCAGAAAACTATAATGGAAAAAATCCGTTTCTTCCAGCACGTGACACAATAAAACTTTTATTAACAAAAACTAAAATCAAATCAAACTTTAAATTAGTGGAGGATAGATTTGAGAAAAACATTATAGACTATTCATATCTCTCATTTTCCTACGATGTTTTAAATGAAATTTGCAAATATTCTTCCATTAATTTTACTAAAAGAGATTTCAAAGATTTAAAGATACTTAATAACTTAACTGTATTTGCGATTGTTTTGCATCATAATGAAATACTAAATTGTATAGTTAAATCTAATGATTTTAGAGAAAGGATTATTTACAAATCATTGATGTACCCTAACTTTGGACCTTACGGTTTACATGCAGCAGTTTTAAGCGAAAATGTTGAAGCTTTGGAGTTGTTAATTTTAAATGGTTCACTTTTGGAAAAAAAAGAATCTTTTTTAGAAGTCATAGATGGCTGTGGTAACACAGCTTTACATTTGGCGGCTAGAAAAGGAAATGTTGAATTAGCAGATATGTTAGTTATGAAAGGTGCGAATGTTAATGCAAAAGCAGATTTAGACGATACACCTTTAATGGAAGCATGCTCAAATAACAAACCTGAAATTGTGAAATATTTAATTAATAACGGAGCACATGTTAACAGTCAGAACAGAATGGGCCAAACTGCTTTACATTTTGCAGTTCAAAACAAATCTGACTTAATAATACATATTTTGCTAATAAACAACGCTTATCCCAACATACAAGATTTTTTAGGACTTACACCCTGGCAAGTGTTGAATGTTGAAGAATACGCGCGAAAAATAGTTAAAAAATGGAATAATTAAAGGATTATGCAGAAAATCTGATTGACCTGCTGGACCTTTCTGGACCCTGGTATTAAAATATTGACACATCTCATGAGATTGCAATGCAGTTTTTTATTTATGCGGACGTGATAATAATTCAAATGACTGTAATAATGCCGAAAACAATAGTATTAATTGTACCACTAAGTATTATTAAATTTTTAAAACATATAGTAATAAATTATAGTGCGAAGGATACAAATTGCCATTGTTACAAAAACGCCTTAAGACTACTTAGACAATAACTTTTATACTAGTTTTTATAGTTAATTTAATTTTTTATTTTTAAGCTTCCTATTTTTTATTTTTGTTTTGCTATTGTTGTTATAATATGATGAATTTGTTTAAATTTGGTCACACAGAAAAAACGCTTTGATATAGTCATTAACAATGTTTTTTTCATTTCTATTTTATTCAATCAAATATGTTTAGAGCAATTGGGGGTAAGGGATTGATGTTATTACAAATATTATATTTAGCCCATAACAAAATATTATCAAGTTAAAATTACTTGTTATAGAGTGAATGACTCTTTAGATTCAAACCTAATGGAAATGTGTACTTGTTTGAAAATTTTAGAAATAATTGTATTCAAAGTTTACCTGATCAAGGTAAAATTAACAATATTTAATTAAATATAAAATTGATTTATATTAAAATGCTTCAACCAAACATTAAAAACAAATGAAATAAAAATAGTCTGTGTTTCTTTTAATGTTCATGATTTTTATTCCAGTGGAACCTAAGGTAAAGTAAGATATTACTGTCTTACAGTGAATATCAATGTTTTTACTGTCTTGAAAAATACTTGTTATTTGCCCAATTATCATTCCCATTTTTTCAATCCGGCCTATATATACATTCAATAAATGTGATCAACTGATTAATCGGTATTTATCGTGACGCCGTTTGATGTAAGTTTATGGGTTATCTCTGGTGTAGGTAGTGTTTGGTTGTTTGTTATATTTGCTAATTTCTTGGGGGTTGTACTTCCTAATCCAGAATTTTCAAGGTAAGTTGTACATGTTTTTTAATTGTATGTCCGCCATGCATTATCCAGTAATTTAATTACTCAATTATATCTAAATGATAACAAAAAGGTAAATGTGTACTCATATAGGTATATACCATGGACACAGTTTATCCTCATATTCGGTATTTCTCTTAAATGGACAAAGATTTTATTAATTTATAAAAAACTTATGATCATGATATCCTTGCAGGGCGTCCTGAAAGTATATATTGCTTTAGGACTTTCAGCAATCTCTTTTGCCTCTAAATACATAAGATGAAATTCCAATTTGGTTTTAGAATAACCATGTGCCATAGCAGACAGATCCTGCACATCTAGTACAGTAGCTGTTGCTAGTGATGGGTCAGTAACTTTCTTAGAGCTTTCTTAGAGCCTTTTACATTTTGAAGTACCTATTTGTAAATTTACATTCTGGAAACTGCTTCTGGTAGTCTTGTGTACACAGGTTTTTCAATCCATAAAATGAAATTGTTCTGTTTTCTGTAGAAACTATTAGGAACCCACTAGAAGTGTTGGTGATATTAATAATAATAATAATAATAATAATAATAATAATATGACTTTATTGCAAGTAAATAATAAACATTTACATATAGTAAAAAAAATACATTTAAATGCAAAAGGCGAAGTTCAGTATGTCACCAGTAGGTGGCATACTGAACCAGAAGCAGTTTCCAGAATGTAAATTTACAAATAGGTACTTCAAAATGTAAAATTCCTTCTTTAGTAAAATCACAATGTAATTTTAATTTACAATATAATATGTTAATATGTTAATATTATTATAACATTAAAAAGAAGACATCATTTTAACAACCAAAATATATAAAATTGGAAATTATATTTAAATTCATATGTAACCAAAAATAATTTTCAATTTGTGGTTGTTAAAATAGTGTCTTCTTTTGATGTGATATGTTGTTTTACATTTTATTGGAAACCGTGGTTCAAGGAATATCTAAATGAAAATAACTTGGGGTTCAATTAACGGTGTTTTATTTTTATAAGTACTTATATATATACCCTGCTGAAAAAGACGGGTAATATCGGATGATTGCGGATAAAAAACCAAGCTAGTTTTATGTCCATTTATATCTGTTTTTATCCGACATATCTGATTTTACCCGGCATGTCGGTTTTTATCTGCAATTGCGGGTATAAATATTATCCGCGAACGTCGGGTTTTATCTATTTAGATCTATGTCTGCTTTTATCTGTTTTCATCCGCAAATACCTGTATTTAAGTTTTATCTGATTTTATCCGCAAACATCTACTTTAATCCGCAAACGTCTGCTTTATCCGATTTTACCTGCAAACATCTGCTTTTATACGTGAAGATCTACTTTCATCCGCGAACATCTATTTTAATCCACAAACATCTGTTTTAATCCGCAAACATCTCATTTAGCCCGCAAAAGTCTGATTCATAAGATTTCACCTGCAAACATCTGCTTTTATCCGCAAACATCTGCTTTTATCCGCAAACATCTGTTTTAATCTCCAAACATCTGCTTTTATCCGAAAACATCTATTTTAATCTGCAAATATCTGCTTTTATCCGCAAACATCTGATTTTATCTGCAAACATCTGATGTTATCCGCAAACATCTGCATTTATCCGTAAACATCTGGTTTTATCCGCGAACATCTGATTTTATCCGCAAACATCTGATTTTATCCGCAAACATCTGATTTTATACGCAAACATCTGATTTTATCCGCAAACATCTGCTTTTATCCGCAAACATCTGATTTTATCCGCAAACATCTGATTTTATCCGAAAACATCTGATTTTATACGCAAACATCTGCTTTTATCCGCAAACATCTGCTTTTATCCGCGAACATCTGATTTTATCCGCAAACATCTGCATTTATCCGCAAATATCTGCTTTTATCCGCGAACATCTGCAAACATCTGCTTTTAACTGCAAACCTCTGCTTTCATCCGCGTTCGGTTTGCCTGCATTTCCTTTGTCCATTTCGGTCCTGTTTCGTACGCAAACGTCTGGTTTCATTCGCGCTTTTTGTTTTCCTCTCCTGTATAGTTACTTTAGTTTACCTGCTTTGTCAAATTTTACTGAGATGTAACTAACTGTTTGTTAGCCGTTCACAGCACACAACTTTATAACTCTTAGGAATTATTTGAATAAAAACAACCTGTAAAAGAAATAAGTTTATTGAACTTCAATATTATTTGGTAAAATACAAATAAGGTCTTTGTTAAAAGACATAAATAGACATTTTTTATTAATTAAGCTTACATTTAAATTAATTGTTAGAAAACATATAGGTATGTTTAATTTCAAATACATTTGGAATTATAACATCTTCAATTTGTATGGAATTTGTTTGAAAAACACTTATTTCGGCGTAGAATTTTTCATCTAACTTTATAAATTTTTTAATTTTAGCATAACCAATATTTTTAATATACACTCTGCACAAAAATTAACGCATCACCATTAAAAGTGACAAAAAAGTTCTTCTTTATTTTAATTTTCGATATATTTGAGTTTTGGGCCACCCTGTATGTTGGATTTGGATACGTACATGCAAAAAAGAATAAGTTTTTTAATGTTTAAATGTTTTTGTAACATAAATACTGATACTTTAAAATTTCAACAAACTTTTGCGATTATTTTCTTTCAATCTTTAGTTAGTAAACGTGGTTATTGTGGTGTTAAATTTTTAAAATTTATAAAATGAACAATCCTGACCGCCAGAGAAGAAATTTGGGACATGACGAAGTGATTAGAATCATTACATTGCTTGAAGAAGGACGTAGTCAACGTTACATTGCAAATATTTTTGATGTTCAACAATCGACTATTTCTAGGGTTGCTGCCCGGTTCAGGGAAACAGGGCAATACGACAGAAGACCTGGCCAGGGTCGTCCAAGAATTACCACAGCAGCGGACACCCGATTTATAACATTAACCGCTCTTCGAACTAGGCACTGTACAGCGCGAATGCTGCAAAGCGAACTATCCGGTGCCCGCAACACAAGAGTTTCTGTGCAAACAATAAGAAATCGTCTTCGGGAAGGAGGAATTAGAGCCAGGGTGGCCGATTTGTGTCCACGTCTTACCAGGGAGCATCGTGTTGCACGATTGGAGTTTGCCAGAAATCATGTGAATTGGGATATAGACGATTGGTCCAATGTTTTGTTTTCTGATGAATCCAGGTTTAGCCTGTTTTCATCTGATCGACGTATTCCAGTCTACAGGCGTGATGGCGAACGATATTTTCAGTGTAACATCAGAGAAACGGAACCTTTTGGTGGTGGTTCTGTTATGATGTGGGGAGGAATTTCTTTTGCGGCTCGCACAGAGTTAGTTCCAGTTGTGGGAGGAAATTTAACAGCTGCAAGATACATAACGGACATTCTTCAACCTCATGTTGTACCATACGGCCCATTTATTGGCGATAATTTTGTTTTTATGCAAGACAACGCTCGCCCGCACACAGCTTTAATTGTTCGTCAGTACCTTACCGAAGTTGGTATCCCCACATTGGATTGGCCAGCTCGAAGTCCCGATTTAAATCCAATAGAGCATGTTTGGGACAATTTATCACGAAGTACGAAATCGGCCAATTCTCCCCACCACCTTAAATCATCTTCAAAATGCTCTAACCGAGGAATGGAACAATTTGCCGGAACATTTTATGCAAAGCCTTATTTTAAGTATGCCACGTCGATGTCTGGCAGTAATTAGAGCACGGGGTGGCAATACAAGGTATTAATTTTGTTTTAATTATCGATTACAACTAAATTACTTTTTTAAATTTGTAAAAAAAAATCAAATAAATATTTTTGGTCTCTTCTTAAGTTTTATTTTTGACCAATTTTGCATACAAATAGTTTTTAATTTATAAGACATGAAACTGAAGAAAATAAATTACAATTTTTTTTCGTTTTATAAGAAAATTAAAGTGATGCGTTAATTTTTGTGCAGAGTGTATATGTAAGAATTAATAGACTTATTATTTCTGTGGTACTCTTCACTATAGTATACCTGATTTTTAAATTTAAATCTGGTGAATATAATTAAATTATTTTCCCATTGGGAAAATGTCTTGTTGAATAAACTTATTTCCTTTACAGGTTGTTTTTATTCAAATAATTCCTTTTAGAGTTATAAAGTTGTGTGCCGTGAACAACCAGTTAGTTAAAGCTCAGTAAAATTTGACAAAGCAGATAAACTAAACTAAAGTATACACGAGAAAAAGGAAAACAAAAAGCGCGAATGAAACCAGACGTTTGCGTACGAAACAGGACCGAAATGGACAAAGAAAATGCAGGCAAACCGAACGCGGATGAAAGCAGAGATTTGAAATTAAAAGCAGATGTTTGGAGATGTTCGCGAATAAAAGCAGAAATTTGCGGATAAATGCAGATGTTTGCGGATAAAATCAGATGTTTGCGATTAAAATCAGATGTTTGCGGATAAAATCAGATGTTTGCGGATAAAAGCAGATGTTTGCGGATAAAAGCAGATGTTTGCGTATAAAATCAGATGTTTGCGGATAAAAGCAGATGTTTGCCGATAAAAGCAGATGTTTGCGGATAAAATCAGATGCTTGCGGATAAAAGCATATGTTTGCGGATAAAATCAGATGTTTGCGGATAAAAGCAGATGTTT